CATGGGTAGTTCCTTCGCTAGCTCTCTCAACGTATTCATATGATTTAAATCTGATGTATACGACGCACCCATTCCCTTTAGGGTCCTTTCGGCCGTATTTAGATGTCTCGAGAATTCCAACAATGACTGACCATCTCCAGACTTAAGGCTAGGTAAGTCCACTAGTTCTTGATATGAGCCATGGCGATAACATGAGGCTTCCAAAAATGCTCATGAAGGGTCTCCTTTGCTACCCGGTACCCATCACTAGCTGCTAGGTTTACACAGCTCTCGATAGCCTCCCTCGCCTTTCCAGTGCAGTGCTGTATCAACAGCTGTAATTTTCTTGAGTCATCTGGATCATCTCTTTCTAAATAATTTTCGAAATTGTGCATGAATGTTCCAAACTTTAACGGATCATCATTAAAATGCAGATATTCAATCTTGGGCATATTCACAACTTGACGAAGAGCTCGTGCAATTTCATCCGTAGGAGATATTCGGTTATTTCCAGTATAATCACCGACTTGTTGATTATTTTCAGTGGGTAGTGCGTATCCTTGTTGATGGGTAGGGGTGTTTGAGTCGTTCAAATTAATTTGATGCGGGTAATGTCAGCCTGCGGTCGCCGCCAAGGGTGATGGATAGGGGTGAGGCAAGCCTCCATTCGTTGTTGGTTGGCTCACACACTGTAATAAAGTGTCAGGATTCTCCCTATTCTCGCTTCCATTTGCAACTGGTGCCCTCGCTGCTAAACTTGGTAATAGTTCCTGGGATCTCGCAGCTGGTAAGCCAAACGGTAAAGTTCCTGTTTCTCTAAGTTCAGAAGCAGAATTGTGGTCAAAGATTGGCAACCCTTGATATTGTAAGGACGGTTGCGATTGTCCTTCTTGAACTAGGGGTTTTCTACTGTTCGATTCATGTATTTCGCTCGCATTTCTAAATCCCTTGTGCTGGAATGATTGTCTTTCGCTTTTGTAACTTTGTTTACTCTCTTTCTCCTTCATTAAAACTAGCTCAATGGGCTTATTAGTGTCCTGTACATCATACGGTGAAATGTATTTTCCTGGCTCCTTACTCTCTGAGATACTACCCTCGTTTTCCTGGAATATTTCATACGAGACCACCGCCATATTAGCTTCCATTTCTGCTTCTGCTACTTCCCTTTTCCTCCTAACTTCCTGTTCCTGGATCTCAAATTGTTGCCGAATCTTCAACTGCTCTACCTTCATACGCGCTAGCACCATTTCTTCCCTTTTTCTTACAATCGACGATGCCTTCGAACTGGAGGCCTCGCTTCTCATGCTCTTGGAATGTTTAGATTTAGCGCTTCTACTTCCGGTTTCATCATGCAATTCTATTTTCGCCTTCTGACGCCATTCTGTTACCATGGCATCGAGATTCAATTTGCGTTTTCTTTGCTCTTCGTAGCTAACACAAGCACTTTCTTTCTCAGTCTCATGCTCTATTAAAACGAGATATTTCTCATGTACCCCGACAAATTCGCACCAAGCTTGGTCAAACTTATTCAATTTCAACGAAATGTCCCCCACATTACACTTATTGTAAGCAATCATATCGGAAATTTCTTTATAAACTTTCGTAATTACGCTAATATAACCCGCACGACTTTTCGCTAGTTGTTATATTTTCTCAGATTTATATCCCAAATCACTCGCCTGATCGTTAGGTCTAGGAACTCTTGTACGCGGTTCTCACATTTCATCACTGTGAGATTCCATATTAACTTCCTTGTCAGACATCTTTAGCAAACACTGCCTCAATATCAACGCAAAATATTGTTCTCAGATTCAATTGTTTACAGCTATACGCGACAATCACAACACAAACACGAATATATTCATATATTGTTCAATAAATGTCGCTCCAAAGCGTGTAGTCGAAAACTGTAGCTAACCCGCGTTAGCTTTAATTCAAATTCGCTCTAAATCAAAGATTTGATACGTATAACTCAACTCCTTTCTCTCCCGTCTCAATTCAGTGATACGCAATAAATTTCTTCGACAATAATTCAATATTAAATCTTTATACGAATAGCATAGCAATAGGAATAGGTTTTCTTTAATAAATACAGATATAAACAAAAAATTGCTAAGAAAATCTTATACATAACATAATATTAAAGTAACAAAGAAAGTCCTTACCGACTGTATCAAACTAATTCACATGCATCTTAAACAATCAATCTTTCGCTCGCAATAACTCACAGTTCAAATTCGTCTTCGCTCGCAGTCAAGAGCAAAATATCAATCCCAAAAAACACGCCCCAACCCCGCTTAATAGTTTTCTTAATTATGTAATATTGTTAATATCTAATGGTAGCTACAAGAACTTTCAATCCTTCGCTATGTAACACCTTGTTTTTCTAGTAAAAAATTAAACAGTTAAATGTACAATTCATCAAAGATATGGTTATAGCCCAGAGCCCTGCAAAGTCTGCATTATCCAAAGTATATGATGTCTCTGGCGAGTTTATTCTTAATCCAATGTAGACGCACCATGGAATGGATAACACCACACCACAAGCGACTACCTCACTACCGGCAAACAACTCGATATGTTTTTCAAAGAAAACGCCTTTTTCATCTCGGGCGATATTCTTTTGTTTCTACGACTTTTCCTGACGATTAGAAACGGTTTGTAGTTGATAAATAACATCGCAGCAATGACAAGAATAAAAATAATTATAGTATGTACTCCGTCGCAAATAACAAAGTCGTTTACAGACATCACTTTCAAAGTTATTTCGACGATGATCAGTATTGCAAGAGGAGTTAAATGTCTTCCCTTCGTTACTGATGTTCGATGAAAGATAGGATAAGATGTCGCCAAATATCGATCGAAATTCATCACCAAAAGAGCGAATAATGAAAAACCAAGGACAGTATTTGTCGAATTTAAGGAAATATATGGCCATCTAGTATTTCCATCCAACTTTTCCGTCAACCATGACATCGAGATGAGGGCTATCAATGGACTATTAGTTAAAACCGTAAGCAATCACAACAGGACAAAACCATTATCATGAAATAACATAATTTCTTTCGAAGTTGTACAGACCTCCAGAAACTGACAATGACCAAGGAATTTAAACATATTCCTGCTGAGAAAAAGAAGAATATGTTCACAGCTAATATGAATATGAAATTGATAAAATTATAAGATTCCATCCTCGAGCGACTTCTTCTCAAGAATTAAACATAAAAATAACGCCGTTGCGTTTAAGTATGACATTTAAATTAAAATTACTGTGAGTAGAAATGACATATACAAGTAAAGTACACATTTACTTCTGTGTTTGATGTGTTTGAAACTATTTCATATTTTATAAGTATATGCAATCTCATGGAAATTTGTTTTTTAAAAAATACCGCGTGAACGGCAGTGTTATATAAGATGTACAAACACGAGCCGCAGGCGAGTGCCTGTTATAACACTGACGCATTCATCATACTGATTTAGAACTGATAGAGCTATCCATGCAATATAAATATAAATATAGTTTAGTGCAGTTTAGGTTTCTTCCTGTAGTAACACTGAATCAATATAAGAGAAGACTCTTGCTGGACCGCTAGGCAAATGCCAGAGCTCCGTTTTTAACTGCCAGAACTCCGTTTTCAAAAGCCATAACTCCGTTTTCGGCTAGATATATGAAAATGTTCGACCGATTGGGTTTGAGCAAATTAGTGGACACTAAATTTTGACAATATGAAACAAAAGTACATAACACAAAAAAATTTCTTCGGTTCCTGGTCCCCTATCTCAATTTGCAAGTTTCAAGCGAAGCGAGCTAACTGAAAATGTTTTTTGGCTAACTGCAAAAAAACTAAATATACAGGCATGCTACGAGCTTGTTGTCATCAACTTGTTACGTGCAGACAATATCAGACTTGTTGGAACAGCTATAGTTGCGAGTCTGTTGGCCTCATCAACCTTGTTACAAGATGAAAACAACTTGTTCCATACTTGTCAACAACTGGGAACAAGCAGCCGTGCGGACACATCTTGTTGACAAGCTGTGAGATTTTTACGTGTGTGTTTATGATGTCAGAGGAAACCCGGAGTAGCCAGAGAAATGACTTTCAGTGAAATGGTTTCTATCAGTTCATATATCTTTTGTTATTTAGAGAAGTGGTACTGGTGTTTCCCTGTGAAAGCAAGCACACTATTTGTGTGGAATGTTTCCGCGAGTATTGCCTGACAAATCTGGATGCCAGACGTTTTGTTCAGACCGAGCACAGAGGATATACCATCGCCTGTCCTGGAAATTCAGGTAGTCTAATGATTCAGTATTGACTACATGAGCACTGGGGATGGTACAGTAACAGTATGTTGATTTACTTCGGTAGTATGGCAAATCCCTCCGTGCCAGAGGCTTCACGTGATCAACAACAAGGCCTAAAGCCCCGTGGTGAAACGACGACGAGAATTGCAACTCTCGCGTTTGACTGTGAACTCTCAGCAACTTTAAACTGGTTCTGTCCACTGAACTGTAAGTAAACTGCAAGGCTAACTCGTGAGGGGGGGGGGGGAGATTGAAGCCAGTGCATTTTAGTTTTTCTGAGTTATGAGCGGAAATACTAAACACTGAACATTGTGCTGTATATGAAAACTGGTTGACTTTAGCTAAAAGGGGAAATATTGAAAAACTACAAAAATATAATTAACGATAATTTGCCATTTTTTGGCCGAATGGCAGTTGTTTTTGTATTTTTAAATATTTTTCTTTTCGCTGAAGTCTTGAAATTTCCACACCGAATAGCAATTTTCAATAGCTATATTTCAGTTTGATATATTGGCCAGTGTTTGGGATCAAGTATTTCTGCTCGTAACTCAGAAAAACTATTTTGGCTTCAGCAAATCATAGGCCTTCATCATAGCAGTTAGCCTTCCAGTTTATTTATATAATTTTGTGCATTTTATGGTGTTGATCGCTTTCAGGTAAAGTTGATTTAAAATGTGAATATTATTTTTCAGATCGGATTGTCCGACAGCCTTTATCAGCGATCCACACCATTTTCGGTTGCTAGGAGACGAACAGGTAAGATCTTCGTATCTTTACTTCGTGATAATACTAAGAATTGTTCTATTTACCCATACACCTTAATTGGAATCACCTTACTATATATGCATGAACTTGTGGTTAGAGCTCGACAACTGGCCTCTGTAGCTCACCAGAATCGCAGGACCACAGGTTCGATTCCTGCCAGAGGGCCTATATAGCTATAGTTGCATTTTTCACAACTGCTCCTAGTTGGCTCTTAATAAATGTATAAAATTTACAATTGAAATTATTTTATTACTATTATTATTAAAGTCTTTATTGTCTGGAGTCACAACAGACGTGCAACTTTACAAATGTCAAATTCCTATTTGTTACAGTTAAAAAAATTGATCTATCCTAATTAATTATATAAAAGTTAAAAATAGTTAAAAAGACATCTATTTATAAAGGATCGTTTAAATCGCTCCGTTTTAATTTGAGGTAAAATAAAGTTATGTTCCCTTTGTCTTAAGATCCTTTGTTTACACACAGGAAGCAATTCATGTAGGGCATGTTTTGGATTCGATACGATTTTGCTGAATAATTTTCTGTCTCTCTCCTCGATCACTTCAGATATCTTAATACTCTTTGTCGTATATCCATAACGATAAGCCCGCCGGAAAAACTTGTCTATACGATCCAAATATTTCTTTTGGAGTGCAGAGCCCCACACTTCAATGCAATAGTAAAAGAGTGACATGACTAGCGAATCGAATAATTTGCTTAGCTGATCTGCAGAGTAACCATAGCATCTACACACTCTCAATATGTACATACGCCCGCTGGCCTTCGTCAGAAGATCATCGATATGAAGATCCCAGCAACATGGATTTTCCTGAAATGTGACACCTAATAATTTCAACCAGCTCTTTCGTTCAATGCCTACAATCGGTGCCGGTAACGGTTTCATGGACCCACAGTGCACAACCATTTCCCACGTTTTAGAAAGATTTAATGTCATTTGATTTGCTTCCGACCAATTCTGAATGCTTTCCACCTCAGCTTCAGCAGAATCCGATCCTGATTTTACTGGAGCACTTGTCGTTATATCGTCAGCAAATTTAACCAACAGGTTATTTTGCGTATCCATGGGTTTTATATCATTAACCATCAACGAAAATAGAAAGGGACCCAAAACCGTACCCTGCGGTACGCCTTTGTTGATATCAACATAAACAGTTTCTATGCCATCAACAACAACTCTTTGTTTTCTGTTGGCCAGAAAACTAATAATCCAGTTTATAGTATACGGATTAATTTCGAGTGTTTTCAATTTTTCACAAATAATGTTATGGGATACCGAGTCAGTCAAACGCTTTCTTATAGTCAAATGATGTTACCCTAACAGAGTCTGCACCTTCATCCAGCCACTTGAGCCAATGATGCAAACACATAATCAGAGCATCGGTAGTATTTGTTCCCTCTTTATAAGCAAATTGATCTCGTCCGATCACGGATTTGAATGCAGACGCAATCTCCTGTTTATAAACTACCCTTTCAAATAATCTCATAATGATGTTTGTGAGCGATATAGGCCTCAACTGATTACACTCTGTCAAAGGAGATTCTTTGGGTATAGGGTTCACATTGGCGAGTTTCCACATCAGGGGGACACATTGTTGTTCGATTGAAAATAAATTGATTAGCTCTCACAAAATTCAACATTTTGGTATAACTAGTAGTTTACAGTGGTTAGCAGTGGCTATATCTCAAACACCTATATTTTATATATTGATTTTTAATGTACTGATGTCTGATGTATCTACACAAGAGGCCCAGGCTCGATTTGCCCGCGCCCGCCTGTGCCTTCCTTATAACGTGGGAAGGAAGGAGACATTGAGACCAAAATAGCCCAGACTTGGCATATGTCACACGAAACTATCCTCTTAATTTAATGCATTTCTTTCACGATTAATCGATATCCCCTGCAAGAATGATACCGTATAACTCTCAAAACAACGATGCTTTAATCAAAGAGCTTAAATTCGCTCTGAAATCCGTGAGAGAATAACAAAATTCGGCCAAAATATATCCGCGTGCCGCGTTTGCTGTGCAAAAAGCGGAAGTCGTTGAACAACTCAAAATACACTCAACCCTGATTGGACAACGAATATCAACAAACATTTCAAATTTTTTTAACAGTACTGTAATAATTTCAATCATACAAACAAAACTATTCACAAACGTTATAATAAAGTGTAAATATTACTGCACGTAAATATAACTGTAGTACGTTAATATGTATAATAAATTGTATTTCACATTGTGTTTGTTAACAAAATTTGAAATGTTTGTTGATATTCGTTGTCCAATCAGGGTTGAGTGTATTTTGAGTTGTTCAACGACTTCCGCTTTTTGCACAGCAAACGCGGCACGCGGATATATTTTGGCCGAATTTTGTTATTGCCTCACGGATTTCAGAGTGAATTTAAGCTCTTTGATTAAAGCATCGTTGTTTTGAGAGTTATACGGTATCATTCTTGCAGGGGATATCGATTAATCGTGAAAGAAATGCATTAAAAGCGAAAAATCGAGGATAGTTTCGTGTGACATATGCCAAGTCTGGGCTATTTTGGTCTCAATGTCTCCTTCCTTCCCACGTTATAAGGAAGGCACAGGCGGGCGCGGGCAAATCGAGCCTGGGCCTCCTGTGATATCTATTACCGACGATTGAGCAGAAAGTTCTCACCGGAAAGGAACGAGAATGGGGAACTGATTTACCTCATTTACGTACATAATTAATTCAGTGTTCGTAAATCTAGCGTGGTGCGGAGAACGCAAATTTTACTAAACGGACTGATGATGATGATAAACTTTATTTATATAAAGAAATGAATGTTTATTCAATGTTTTAAATCGCATAAAGATTTGTCCTGATTTACATAAACTTCAGCCAGGGCATTCTTTAATTATATAACTACTGGGGCATTTACGCCAGTAGGCAAGGTGCTTGCCCCAGTAGTGAAGCAATATTTTCAGATGAGCTGGGCCTTTCTTAATCATAAGAAAAATACACATGCATATGTGAAAATATATATACTATGATATACGTTAATTTACTATTTACAACCATGTCCATGGTCCATGCTTTCAGTAGCGATGGGTAGCGATTTTCCTTAATAATAGCGATGGGACGCCACTGGGCCTAAAGTACTTCCCCATTTTATATTTGATTACGAAATTATCTTGTTGAGCCAGCTGTAGCTTCTGGCTCTGCGTCACACGTGGTCACAGACGCTCGTGGGCGGAAATGAGGGGCTAAGACTATCGGTCTGTGACTGTGTTTATCACTAACCGTGATTACACAGACTATGTCGTAGTCTACTCATCTCTAGAACTAGTATCACTTTATTTACTTTATCAGAACTGAATTCGAGTTTTATACTGAAATACCTTCTGCGTGCGTGTTCCAATGCATGTTTGTATCTGCGCACTGCACTTTTTGACGCCCGTCACACCCGCGTAAAGCCGTAAACAGATTTTCAAAGCCCGCTCCGCCAGCGCTGGCAAAGCGACTTGGGCATTGATATGCCTGTACATGCCTGTATTAACGGCTTATTGACCGAGCGTGAGGTGTTGGGTCTGTACTGTGAAAAATCAGACCGAGGTTTTTTAGTCAGTTTCACTGGGTAACAATATACGGTAGGCATGCATACTCAATCAAAAACAATTTAATTGGTTGTTTGAAATTTTTATCTGTAAAGGACAATTGGAAGTTTATATAAAAAGCAAAATTTTTTTCGGTTTGCAAAGCAAAAATTTCCCGCCAGATAAACGACATCCGGGACACCGGTCCAGATACGGAAAATAATGGAAAATACGGACCACGGTCCGGATATGGGTTTTTACCGCTTGTCAACCAATCAGAATAGAGAATTTTGAAAAGCCAAATAATAAATATTAATAAATTTAACTATTTTAATAACTCCACATGGCATACGCGCGAAGAATGGCGAGCGACAGGACGAAGAAGATCCGCTTTCTCGGCGCTTTATTTCTCCTCGTGTGGATTCACACAACGAAACAGGAATCGCTTTGTAACAGTAAGTGATTTATATTACCTAGGGAACGTTATAGTATACGTTTTTTCCTCGCAAACAGAGTTCTAGATATCCCCAATTAGTTTTGATTTAATAGGTCTTTATAATAGTATCAATCGAAGTATCAATGACAAATCAGTGTCGATATTCGCAAAATGGTATACTACAAAATGTCGCACAATCGACTTTTGTCTTTTGGCTATCTGCTATTTTAGCTTAATTTCCATTCTTATTAATAATTCCGGAAATTTTCCGCAGAAAGAAAATTTTGTAAAATGTGATTGGCCGACACAAATTTTCCGTCGGTGATATTGGATGGCCGATATAACTGAACAACTGTTTTGTATAGGTAATCATGCGTTGGCGAGTACAATTAGGGATTAATAGTACGAGTGATGTTTGGAAACATCACGAGTACTATTAATCCCTAATTGTACGAGCAACATCGCATGATTACTTGTTTATTATTAGCATGACAAAATTGGATATCTTCTCAATGTCAACATCATATTCTCTCGCCAAAGTCCAGACTGCAGAGTACGGCAAGTGCACACTCGAGATTTTTTTTGGCCAATGGTATTGCACACTTAAACATATTTCAAATATTTTCCAGTTTTGTCAGGCATTAAAATAAGGACTTCTAAGACAAGTGTAATATAACAACCACCTGAAAATCGGGAACGCTGATTCATGGGTGCAAATGAAAAATGTCCATTAAAGTTTCGAATTTCTATCTATAGCATGTAAGCATGGGCACAAGAGAACTTATAATTGGTCCGATTTTCTCGAGGCGCCATCATGGTTGGCGCCGAGCGGAAAATTTTTGAAATTTGGAGTCCCTACATTGTCGGAAATGGCATTTTCGAGTGCACACTTTTCCATTTACAACTCAATTACAAGGACATGCACATTTTCCTTTTACATAGCCTGCGAGCAGGCTCTCTGGGGAAAGAGAGCCTGCAAGGATCCCTATGATGATTCGGTGCATGCGTCCAATATTTGGACGCAGTGCTCTGATTGGTTGATAACTGATTCATATGAAGTGATTGACAAGCTTCCATAAACTCGCACTTCCCGTTTGTAAAACCGAGCAACGCAAAGCTTCAGAATTGCGGCAATGTAGAGATAAAAGTGTCATGTATTTTGATCCTGGTTGACTTTTTACTGTAAATTAATATAGTATTCATATAAAGACGAATACTAAAAGCTTGCATGCTTTATTGTGTCCTTGGCTTGTCTGACTCCTAAGCTAAGAATAATTCTTGAGAAAGACTGCACGAATTCGCAAACCGAAACCTAGGGACAAGGCATTATGTCGCTTCTCTTTTATGAAACAATATTGGGAATTCTGATAATATTCAGTGCATATTGTGTGTATTAAGCTTGTTTTACAATGCTATACTAACTATTTAATATTTATAAGTATGCGGCGTTAAAATGTACAGTAATTTACTCGTCACTTTGTTTACAATAATTATCACATGCATGTTTACTGCAATTCCACTTTTTGTTGCAAAATTTGAACTATAAACATATTAAATTATGTCCAATGTCCATGGTATATCATATATGTCTATGTCTCACCAAAGCCATAAATTTCAGTAAGTTATATTATTACTATATATATAGACTGTATATACAGTGTATATTATATATTGCAGCACGAAGCAATTCCAAATAACTGAATTAGTTAGCGGGTAATATACAACTTTAAACTTACTGTGCCTACAGGAGAAACACATGCAGATTGTAATAAAAAGTACAACTTGATATATTACTCTGTAAAACCTCGAGCCGTTTTAACTTTTTTAGTATGCCACAGTGGCGGTCTGTATACGAAACTATTAACGAATCGGTTTATGTTTACAATATCGTAGTGTATTCCGGTCTGCGCTGATTGGTTGTTATTAATTGACCTGTGACATCATAATTGAAGGGCGGCACGCAATCATCATAGGGATCCTTGCAGGCTCTCTTTCCCCAGAGAGCCTGCTCGCAGGCTACCTTTTACAGGACACAAAGTGTGTCAAAAACACGCTATTTTGTACGTGTTCATAATGACTTTTAACTCCGATCGAAATATATATTCTTGTTTGTTCATCAGAATTTGGACCACGTTTTGTTTTCCTGAGAGGCAGAAATTTTAGTTATTTGTACAAATAAACAATCATTGTTTTAATAATATCATTAGAACATGTAGCTATTTACAAGTGCACACTTGACTACGTTAACTGAGGATTGCACACTTGCACACCTGAATTTTTGTCTTGCACACCCGAGATCTCGTCGAAAACTGCCATACTCTGCAGTCTGGTCCAAAGTCCAGTCCTGCCAGACTTTCAACCAAAATTTGGTGCTTTTGTTCGTATTTTCATTTAGTTCTTTTGTTAAAGCAAAATTTGGTGCTTTTGTTCGTATTTTCATCTAGTTCCTCAAGGGCAATTTCATTTCACATTTGTGTTCAAAATACCTTTCCGCCATTTTGTTTGTTTTGGGAAAATCATTAATTGTACTGCAGTACAATTAATGAAATAATTGTACTCCTCTCCACCAACCAGCATCCAGTAATTTTGTCATGCTAATAATAAAGTTCGATAAAATACTGGTCGGGTATTTCCCTTTTTTTTAATTGCTGTCATCCAACGAGGCATTAAACCATAACATTCAGCCAATAAGTCAGATGAGATTGACAGCTCTGTATGTACAAATGTACCAAATATGCCAAATGGCAAATATAAATATAAACTTTAATAATATAGATAAGAATTTTGATATAGGCAAGTTACACAACCAATAATCCTTCCATGCTTCAAAGCATATGATATGAGACAAGTGTGAAAAGTACAATTGTCCGCTGAAAAAAAGCAAAATATTTCAGGATTAGACGTATTGGGACAATCAATATTTCTCGCTGGTATATTGATACTTTTCTTTCACCTATAGAATATTTGGTATCAGTATCCGCCCATAACTAAAGGTATTTACGGTGTGTGTGTGGGGGATTGGGATGCCGGTGAGAAACTGGAGGACCTGAGACTTTTGCAGATGAAAAAAGGGGGGCTGCTATTCTGGTAAACCAAATCTGGCCTCCTGTGGGGACCTGAAATTGAAGGAGACACAACCATAAATTTCAAAAACTCACTAA